ATCCATTTGCAGTGCAGGAGACCTGGGTTTGATCCCTTGATTGGGATGATTCCTTGGAGGAGGGCATGGCAACCAGCTCCAGGATTCTTGCCTGAAGAATTCCCCATGGACAGAGGAGCCTGGTGGGCTACAGTCCCTGGGGTCACAGAGTTGAACGCGACTGAGCAGCTAACCACAAGTGCCCTGCAGGGGTCTTGAACTGACACTGCCCTTTCCCTTGACAGTACATCCTAAGTAACAGCAGGCACAGGATATGACTCCCTGAACTGCTCTTGTGAGAACCATACTCCCCATTACCATCTGCCTTCCCCTTCTTGTTCTTTAGATATGACTCCCCTCCCCTGACTGAAGCTTAGCAATTCCTACTCTTTTGAATTTGATCAATCCAATCCAAACAACCCACCTATGGATCTTAATAAAGGTACATGTTCCATGCTCTGCCGAGACCCTGCAGGACTTCTTACATGTTCCCTCCAGCTATACCATGAATCTCCACCAGAATCTGAGTAATAAATGTCTCCATTTCACTTTCCCTCGCAGTCTTGTGGAGGACTGTTGCATAACAGTCAACATCAGGGGCTCTCCTTTACAAAAAGTAATTTTAAAAAGTTGCAACAATGGCATTTGACAATTCTATCAAATTTTTTAAAAGGAATTACCAGTAATTCTATGTGATTTATTTTTAAGAAAAGGTGAAAGCACTTGTCAACTCGGTTTATAAGGCCAGAATTACTGGGAAACAAAACTAGAAAAATAGAAAAAAGTAAAATGAAAAAGAAAAAAAACAAAAGTAAAATGATCAATCCATGTGAAGATTAAAAAATTCATCATGAAATATTAGTAATAGAAATGAATCAAAGAATTCATATCAATGGTAATATAAATCAGGGAATTCCCTGGTGGTCCAGTGGTTATGACTCTTTTATTGGCAGGGACCAGGTTCAATCCCTGCTTGGGGAACTAAGATCCTGCAAGCAATGAAGCTCAAATAAAAATACAAATAAAAATCAAGATCACTTATCAAAAACATTATTCTTGGTTACAAACAAATTCTATGTGGAGGATGTTGGGTGTCCTACAAAAAGATTTCATGTCATCCTTTTGCCATCTCAGTTCTTTCACTGAATGATAGCCCAAAAGTAACTGCTGTTCTTCATATTTACACTGCAACTACTTTGTACCTGTCATTGCCTTATAGGCATTATCACGTCACAGGAGTCCCAAAACAACCCAGTAATCCCTGGCGATAAAACAGGACAAATACACATGGTAGAAAAAATATTGCTAAGGAAAACTGAAAACACTTTTTATTACACTAGAAAAGTAAACAATGTAACACATTACATACTAGCCTAATTTGAAACTGAAATTTTAAAAACACTTCGAAAATTGCTGGAGTAAACTGTTTCATTATATTATCTAAATAAACATTTCCAAAGATTTTACTAAACTAGGGTAAAAATATCTCCAACAGATTAATTTTACAAGCATCTTTAAGAACCATATTAAACAAGAGTATGTGTGTACTGTGGAAAAGAAATGTTAATAAATAATTAGCATGAACACAAGTGTGCTTTTCCAAGTCAGAAAGCCAAGAATTTCAGGAATAAGCATTCGGTTTTTTTTTTTTTTTTCCTTTTCCCCTTCTTTTTCAATGAAGTAGAAAAGAATGGCTTTATTGCTTTGCCAAGCAAACGGGCCACAGTGGGCTAATGCCCTCAAAACTGTGTGTCTCAAACAAGAGGGGGTAGTGGGGAGTTTTATAATAATGGCTCAAAGTGGGTGTGGTCAGGTCATGAACTCTTCTTTGATTGGCTGGTGGTGAGGTAAATGGCAGACAGCATCATAAACCTTCTGGCTCCAACTGCTCTGGGTTCTCCATGCTGGTGGGCAGCAGGCTTAGTGTCTCCCACCTGATGGGGGTTTCAGTATCTGGGGCCTGGACTTAACTGAGGCTCAGGTTCTTTGCGTCTCAGCACAGAAGGAATACAGCAAGAAGCAAAGTGACGGGCAAGAAGTAGATGCTTGTGAGGGACATAAGTTGGTAGGCAAGAGGGCTTTGCCTCAGTGTTTTATGAAGTCTGACTCCATTAAAATTTTTTTTTCTGGGATTACGGGATCTTAGTTTCCTGACCATGAACTGAACCTGTGAGCTTCGCAGTGAAAATACTGAGTCCTAACAACTGAACCGCCAAGGAATTCCCAACTCCTTTTTTTGCTATTTGATTATTGAAACCTTTTAATGCTCAGGAAAAACCTCTTCTTTTTCAGCCTATCTGGACAAACTTTTTTTTTTAAAAGCCAGAGGATGCCTTCCTTTGAGACAAACTGGAAGTTCAAACTGTAAGCTTCACCTCCAACAAGCCTCACCCAGTAATTAAATTTTCCTCTCACATAAACTGCTCTCCCTTCAATTCCTAAGAATAAGACTAATTTCTCATTAAACACAGATGCAGGGACTTCCTTGCCAGTCCAGTAGCTAAGATTGTATGTGCCCACTCTAGGCAGCACTGGCTTGATTCCTGGCCAGGGAACTGAGATCATGCATGCCACATGATGTGGCCAAAACAAAACACACAGATGTAAATAACACTTATTCCCATACGATGGAGAAAACCAACTTTTTTGGGGCACTGTTCCTATGACATAATCCATCCCTAGTAAATGTCCCTCTTCTCTCATGAATAGTCAAGCCCCTTAATGTCCTTACTGCTTTGCTCACAGTTACCTAGTAGAGGATTCTGTCCACTGTGATCAATCCATGGACCATGAATATAACAAGCACGATGAGCAACAGCAATTTTACACTATTCTCTAGAGCCCTTCCTGATGCTGACACAGTACTGAATTTGGTAATTCAAGGTCCTTGTTTTTCCAGGGAACATGGATGTGAATGAACCACACCTAATGAAGCCGGCTCCTTCACCTTACTGACTCCTTCCCAGGGACCATCATCAAAGGCCTGTAATGAAAGTGTAAGATCAACAGACTTCAAAATTAATGTTGAAAGGCATAAATAGTAATGTGGAGTTCAAGAAAGCTCAATAGAACATTTACACAGTTAGATACTTGGCCATTTACACATATGTTCTTCTGTATGTCATATACACATCATTTCCTAAGTTTTAACATTCTGTGACTTCTAATGACTCTGAAGTGCGTAACAATCTCACATTACTCTTGGGAAAACTAAAGCCTTAACTTATTCCTATTATGGATTCTCTGATATGTAGGCTAATTTAAGAATTATGCAAAAAATTCACCAAATTCATTATATTTGTTAAGGATTATCCCCAATAGCATAAGCTTTGTGATGAAATCTCAGGATGCATCATTTCATCAAATTCTTTCCACATTCAGTAAATTGCTATCGTTTCTAACCTGTATGAATTCTATCATTACATCAAAAGTGGAGCTACTTGACAAAAACTTTTTACAACATTTATTACATGTGAAATGCTGCTTTCCAAACTAAATCCTCTGTTTCAGAGGTTTCATCTTCAGGTACAAGCCTTAGCACATATTAGTTTGTGTGGTTTCCCTCAAAAGACACATATGAGAAGTCTGGTGAATTGTGCAGTTAGGATAAAGGTTTTGCTCATATGTCTGTAAGGTTTCTTTTCAATGGACTCTCCACTGTTGCCTCATACTTGAACTCAAGGTAAAGATTTTGCCACACTTGTTGCATTTAAGGGACTCCAGTAACTCTCCCATCTTATCTTTGGATAAAATCCTTGCCACACATATTATATTTGTATGGTTTCTCTCTAGGATAAACATCCCAATATTAAGTCATGAGTGAGCACTAATTTGGAACCTTGCCCCATTTATTACATCTGTAATGTTCTATCCAGCACAGATTATTTGATGATAGGTAGAATGTGAGCCCCAAGTAAAGGTTTTGCCCATTCCTGGCATTTGTGAGGTAATAATCTCCAGAAAGAAATGTTTGGTGAATGAATTCCTTGTCTAAGGGCTGGTCAACTAAACATACTTATCTGATTTCTCTCTCCAGGATGATATTTTCAATGAAGTCTAAGATGGCAACACCTGATAATTTAAAACACATCCTTAATGTTCATCATCAATGTGGATTACCTGATGGAAAGGCAGGTTTCAAGATACACTGATGATTTCTGAAACTCATCATAATACTTGTCAGGTTTCTCTCCAAAATGAAACTTCAGTTCATGTTAAGGTTATCAATGTGGACTGGAGACTTTGAGACATTCAGCATATTTCTAGAGTTTCTGCCTAGTACAGATTATGTAATGGCAAGGCTTTGCCACTCTCATGACATGTGCAAATTTCTCTCCACTATGAATTTCCCAAGAATATACAGTGTCGATTTTGAATGAATGAAGACAGTCCCACATATATCATGTTAAATGATTTCCCCTTTGTATTTATTACCTGGTGTGGAGTGATAGTTGAGGTCTAATGAAAGGTTTTCATTAGTCTTTGTTTTTGAAAGGTTTCCCTTTTGTATGAACACTCTGATGCTTTGCCAGGTATGCCTTTCGACTAAAACAGCTGCCACACTCATTACATTTGTAAGGTTTAACTCCAGTATGAATTCTCTGATGAATTGCAAGACTTGAATTCCGATTGAAGACCTTGCCACACTCGTTACATTTGTAAGGTTTCTCTCCAGTATGAGTCCTTCGGTGCCTTGCAAGATATGAATTAAAACTGAAGACTCTGCCACATATATCACATTTACATAATTTCTGTCCTGTATGGATTATCTGATGTCTCTTGAAGTTTGAGCTGTGATTAAAGATTTTGCCACAGTCTTTACATTCATAAGGTTTTTCCCCAGTATGAATTCTCCGATGAACTGCAAGGTATGAATTTTGACCAAAAACTTTCCCACAGATATCACATTTATATGGTTTATCTCCTGAATGGATGATTTTATGTTGTTTGAGGTGTGAGCCAAAATAAAAGGTTTTGCCGCACTCATTACATTTGTAATGTTTCTCTCCAGTATGAATCACTTGATGACTGACAAGGGTTGATCTACTACTGAACATCTTACCACACTCGTTACATTGGTAAGGTTTCTCTCCAGTATGAATTCTCTGATGACTTGCAAGGTTTCCTTTCTGACTAAAAGCTCTGCCACATTCATTACACTTGTAAGGTTTCTCTCCAGTATGAAGTCTCTGATGACTTGCAAGGTTGGCCTTGTGATGAAAGACCTTGCCACACTCATTACATTTATAAGGTTTCTCTCCAGTATGAATTCTGCGATGTTTTGCAAGGTATGAATTCTGACTAAACACCTTGCCACATTCATTACACTTGTATGGTTTCTCTCCAGTATGTATTCTCTGATGAACTGTAAGATATGAACTTTGAGTAAACACTTTTTCACATATATCACATTTATATAAGTTCTCTTTTGTATGGATTATCTGATGTCCAGTGAGGTGCAAGCCATGGTAAAGGGTTTTGCCACACTTGTTATACTTGTAAGATTTCTCTGCAGTATGAATTGTTTGATGAATAGCAAGGTCTGAATGTCGACTAAAGACTTTGCGACACACATCACAATTAAACATGTTCTCTTCTGTATGGATAAACTGATGTTGGGTAAGGTTCAAGCCCTGATGTAAGGTTTTGCCACTCTGATTACATTTGTAAGGGCTTTCCATATGTGTGCTCTGGTCTTGTGTTAGTATTGAAGGATGCATGAAATCATTCCCATATGAATTAGAAATGTTGGTTTGGACAAGGAGAGAAATTCCTTGAAGTAGTGAAAGTGAGGCACTAATACTGATACTCTTGTCAGCTTGATTAAATTCATCAATCTTCTCTTCACTTTTATAAACATGCAGGTCATCCCAAAAGCTTAATGCAAGCCTGTTTTCAATAGGCTTGATTCCTGCAATACTTCTACCATGTTCCTCTCTCTCATCGGTGACATTTTTGTCATGCGTTATACGCTTTCCTTTGTAATTTCTTTCCTCATCTCTTGGCTGAGACTCAAAGTCATATATATTTTCCTGGATTTCCCTGAAGTAAAAATCTTTGATTTTATTCCTTTCGTGTCTTCCCAATATCACTGTTTGGAATTCTTCTCCTCTATCAGTTTTTGCATTTAGTTGTAATTTCTTGATCACAAGTATATGAGAGATATCTATGAGATACAAAAAACTGTAAGTATCTTATTTATTACAACTCATAAATAAATATTTCATGTAAAACATGGTATTACACCAAACTAGTACTTACACAAAAAGGAGTTATGAAAATTGCCAACCATGACATAAAAACCTTTCAAACACAAATGGAATGATTCTTTACTAAAGGTAAACTGATCTGCTATAATTTTACTTAATTTTAGGGCATCTAAATTTCAAACACTTTGGTCACTTGATGGGAAGAGCCAACTCATTGGAAAAGACCCTGATGCTGGGTAAGACTGAAGGCAAAAGGAGAAAATGGTGGCAGAGGATGAGATGGTTAGCTAGTATCACCGACTCAATTGACATGAATTTGAGCAAACTCCGGGAGACAGTGAAGGACAAGGAAGCCTGGCGTGCTGCATTCCCAGGGTCACAGAGAGACAGAACCGACTTAGCAACTGAACAACAACAAATTTTCAAACAACCTATAATAAGAACACTCACATTGGAAAAACTTTTGTTACCAATCCAAGAAAGTATAATTTTTAACCATGACACCAAAGCACATACCAATTAGCAGTAAACATACCTACTGGTGCCTCAAAACTGAGGAGAAAAGAATATTATATATATATTGGCCATACTTGTTAAATAGAAATGAATGCTAAAAACCAGACAAAATCTACTGTAACAGTAAATAATCCAAAACTAAATTATTCAATGAATAATCTCAATGAGTGGTAGTTTCAAATTGGGAAAAAAATAATAGAGAAAATGGTGCATATGATAGAAAAGTTTTTTTAAAAACAAAATGTTCTTCTAAGTACCTCCTGTAAAACTATGTACCCAGGAAGCAGCATAAAACATTCAGAAAGCCCTTCTGAAATCAAAATTAAAGATTAGTATATGAAATATTCTCCATTTATATTAACAGCCATTAAATAGAGCAATTCCCTAATTCTGCAGTGCCCTAAAATATCCAGTTCTTTGGCTCCAAAATATATGTAATAAAGAGTGCGCAATTTGTGAATTTCCTTTTACTAGGTTAATACACCATATTGGTGAGAACAAATTGAAAAGAAAAGCATACAATATATAATGGAAAAAAGGGATAGCATAATAAACATGCTAGAATATTCATGTATCTTTTTATACAAAAGACATTTTGACTTGTTAATATAAAAACTGCACTATTTCTGGGAATTTAAGAGTAGTCTAGTGGTTAGAACTCAGTACTTTCATTGCCATGGGCCAAAGTTACATTCCTCGAAGGAAGATCACACAAGCAGCACGGTGGGGCCAAAAAAAAAAAAAAAACACCTAAAAACAAACAAACAAAAAATGCTATTTCTTTTTAAAGGCTTGAGGATAATTATCACAATTTTTACATAAGGAAAAGTGGAACCACAGATTAATGTACATGACCCCAATTGACACAGAAAGTAGGAAGAACCATGATGGGAACTGTGACCTAGAGACTGAGACAATATATTCTTAAACATGACCCTTGCCCAAGCAGTATATTACAAAATACCGCAACAAATATCAGGAGCTTTAGACGAAAACCTCAAGGGAGATGCAAGAAGTGGGCTGTGTAACTACTAAGGGGATTCAGCCACCTCTCCTGGAAATGGTTTCTGAGTTGTCAGCTGCACACAGTGATTTAGGTTGGGTCATGAGAAAGCTGTTCAATACACAGAGGTGTTATTTTTACAGTGTGAGTAATGTCGAAGGTGGAGGGGTGGTGAAAGAGTGCAGTGGAAATTGGGAAGTTCAGGAGAATAATTTAAACATGTTAGGAGATAACAACCTTTTCATCCACTCCAAGGGATCATATAAAGAAAGGTCAGAACTGAGAAAAGGGACTGATTGGAGCTCAGGGTATATGCATATGTAGGAGCACATCTGTGTGATTATAACTGGGTGAGGACAATTAAAACACTGACCTTAAAAGAACTGGCTTAGCAATAGTATACTACTGGTCCATTTTTAATTAGGGGAATTATAGCATGAGTATGGGAAAGAACCACATGAGATTTAAACACTGCAGAAAGAAATTAACTTTCATCTACTATACTATTTGCTATGCAAACTGAATATTCCAATGACTGTATTTCCATGCATATGTTCAATAAACAGAAAAATATTTCAGGAGACTGTGCAGTAATGTTCTTAGCAGAAAGCAGAAGTGAAAACCAGGAGAAGACCATCAGAAGGAGATGAATCAGTTAATTCTGTGCACACACAAACAGAGCAAAGTAAAGGAGGGAGATCGTGATTCTGGAATGAAGATCTCTTGGCTAGGCAAGAACACCTTGTATGGGGAAAAAAAGATAGCAGAAAGTGTTTGCCAAAGCCTGAGCAATTTCAGGATATGATCACAATAGTTAAGTAAGTAAAGAAAGAAAAAAATGTTACTAAACTTTTTTTTTTGTTACTAAACTATTAATTACATAACATACTTTGGTTATATAAAATATTTGCATCAACATCCCTTGTTATTAAACATGACAGTGTTCTTTTAGCTAGCCTGTCTAAATACTGGAAGTCATATCATTAAATTTCTTAACACAAACTCTGCAAAGACACAAATCATGTGACTGCGGCTTTTAGAGGAACCTGTCCCAAAAGTTGTCCCTGAAGTGACAGTTCGAAGAACCAGCAGCCTAGAAACCCAGGCGTGGAGATTGATCCTGCGGGAGAAAGGGGTTCATCATGGCGGATGATCTAAAATGATTCCTGTATAAAAAATTACCAAGTGTTGAGGGGCTCCATGCTATTGTTGTGTCAGATAGAGATGGAGTGCCTGTCATTAAAGTGGCCAATGATAACGCTCCAGAGCATGCTTTGAGACCTGGTTTCTTATCAACTTTTGCCCTTGCAACAGACCAAGGGAGCAAACTCGGACTTTCCAAAAATAAAAGTATCATCTGTTACTATAACACCTACCAGGTGGTTCAATTCAATCATTTACCTTTGGTAGTGAGTTTCATAGCCAGCAGCAGTGCTAATACAGGGCTAATTGTCAGCCTGGAAAAGGAACTTGCTCCATTATTTGAAGAATTGAGACAAGTTGTAGAAGTTTCTTAATCTGGAATTTTCTTCATCATATCAGACACAATATCAATCCAGCAATCTTTAGGCCACAGTGACACTTGTATCCATGTACTCAAGGACCCCTTTTTCCACCTTACTCTAGAAAAAGAGCCTTACAGATAGAATTTATGGACAGGTTGATGGTTATCTTTTTTGTGTGTAGGGCTGTTTCTTATTTAGTGAGATATGGGGATACCACAGAAATGGTTCAGTCTATCACAGCTCCTGTGGAGTTAGTCCAGTCACCAAATATGCATGAGATCCTATTTGGTGGCTCAGAATCAAAATGATACTTTGATCCCCTTGAGCCATGAAGTTCTCCCTTTTATACCATATGTCAGGCCTGCAGAATGAGGCAGACTCTTTTTATTGTGAATAATGAGGACATATTTTTCTTCATATTATTTTCTTTGCATTGAGCGTGAGGAAGATAAAGTGGCTTAGGAAAAGTGAATAAAACCAGTACAATCACTAACTTCGGTTTGTATGTATTATTGTGCACTATAGGTGAGTCTTACTGACTAATTTGTTTCTTCTCAGAGGGTGCTGCTCTTTAATGGAAATGAAGATGACAGCTAATGGTTTTTTTCTTCCACTCTGCTTTCTATAACCAATCAGTGTTTTTTTAATGTTTGTTTATTCTTTGTAAAATTTATCTGTGATTCATTATTGAACTCTGTTTCCAGGATTGGTATGTATGTATACATGGTAGTATACCCCTTTTTCATTACATGAGGATAAATAAAATAGTATTTTTAAAGGTACAGTTTGAGCACTATATAGGTTTTTCCCCCCAGACTGTTTTCAAGTGTTTAAACTCTGTAATTTAATTCACTCCTTCAACTAGTTTGGAGACTGTTTTACCTAATATAAGTTGTCAGTTGGAAAATAAACCTCATCCAGGAGCCTAAGGAAAAAAAAAAAACTCTGCAAAGAAAAACAAAACTATGAGGGAGTGACGTCAGCAGGACAGTAAACCATAGGCATGCATTACCCATGAGGGAACCAAGTTAAAAACAATAAACGAAAAACAACTGGGGAAAATTCAACAAACCAATAAAGAAGAGGCAGCACCCAAGCAAATGCTTGTCCTAAAACACTAGACTGAAAAATG